TTCGTGTTAGTGTGTGTAGTTTGTAATAGTTCTCTCTCGTAAGCTGATTTATTGTCTCTGTTATATATTTCTTTAGTTGTATCAAGTGTCGATGTATTTTGTTAGTTGTATTGAAGTGTTGTATTAGATCCCGTGTGCTGCACTATCACTAGAGTAAAGTTTGTTTTGTTTTCTCACATCTCTGATCTCTTTACTGTCTCTGCTTGCGTACGGAACGAACCAACCTGCTGTCATTCCCGTCGCCGACTTCGCGCTGGCGACGCTAGAGTGGCAGCTTGTAACAAGCGCATCAACAGGAGGAACGTCAAAGCTTTCCAAGGATACTCTCACGAACTGAATGGCAATTCGTTTGACTGTGCTGCAGCTACAAACCAGTAAGTCTCATGCATGAAAACCAGTGGGAAAGCCGCATGCAGATATGCTAGCTACTGTGGCAGAGCTGTTTACAATACCAATCCTCTGCTCAGTCTTGAAGAAAAAGGCTAACAAACAGACATTGAATTGAACATGCCCGCAAGTATGCAACTAAGAATAAAACACCGCCATGCTTTTCCAAGTAGAAGCACTCAATATTCCTACAACTATTTCACGGACTGGCTTGTTTTGTTTTTGCTCATCCACTCACAAAAGAATGAAAGGATTACACTGCCTTGAAGGTTTTCATTTGTTTGAGGACTGACAGAGATTACAATATGCTCGAAGGTTTCATAGCACATTATGTCCCTGAAATAAATGACCATGACAGTGATAATCACTCCAGGTACTAATGTGGATGCACACAATTGACCATGGCACATTTTTACTCATAGTGTAAATGTGCACCATATGAGAAAACGAACATATAAAAATTATTAAATATGTGAGCACCTCCTCTAATTGTCATATTTGTGGTTTATGCTTTTTTCTCTATCCCCGATGTCAACATATGTACATATATTCAAGTACTGCTTCAATAAATCATGCCAAAGACCTTATGCACTTCTAGTTACAATTATCTAGCCATTGTTTATTAATACTTGAATAAGACACTTTTGGTGCACTGTTGGAGTAAACAACAGATGTCATCTAGCATCCAGAGGTTGTGCAAGGATTGCCAAAAATTCGACATTTTTTTTAGAAACAAACAAAAGCAATTACTCGCAGCAGCTCCTTCTGGAATGCACCATCCCAATTCACGTCACTATACATTGCTTAAAAAGAACAATAAACATACAAGAATGTATTCAAACGTTGTAGAAGATTCTACGATTTGAAATGTGCAATTTCACATTTATAACAATACTGTTAGGGCCTATAAATCGTAGTATCCACATTACTCTGTGGGAAACAAAGCTGTGTATTTTTGCTAGTTTGAAATGAAATCTGCGAGTATGCACGTAACGAAGAAACTTCACAGTGAATGCTGCGTTGCCTTGACAGAACCGCCCAACGGCCTTGTATCCACCAAACGACAATTCTACCTTGAGCTTCTTCAGCCGAAATGAACCATGAATCAAAACAAAATGTTGGCAAATTGATACACGACCGATTACATCTATGGGGCTCCCGCACTAAACTTCTATGGTTTGCATATTTACACACAAGGTAAATATCAATCATTATCAACTATTTCTAGGTTTCAGCAAACATTCAAACACTTTTAAATTTCGATGAAATATTACAGCATTCAAATTCGGTTTGATAAGAATTTAAAATATAATAAATTTCGTAGTATTGAAGATGAACAAATGAAAATATTTAAACTGCATGCAACCCCCTGTAAAGGTGGTTTTACTGCAGTAGAGGAGTGCCATACCGTGAAGACACCTTTTCAGAGAACATTAAAACTGCGGCAAAGCTTTACTTCAAGTTTAATGTGTCACACTAGCACTTTTAATCACGATCAGGGCGATACGGACGAGTTCTCTTGATCGCGATCAACTTCATGATCGCTGCTACACGGCCCAAGCTAATCCGGCTTGAGGTTGGGTCAGATGAAATGCCCCAGGTGGCATTTGCATGCCGTAAAACATGCCACTGACAAGACTCGACGTATGGTATATGTATAGATTCCTTTATCAGCAATATTATCCGTGCAAGAACCACTTGAACGTCAAAAACTTTGCAGGCTGCTGCAATAGTAATTTCATAAATCCATCACTCAATGAAATTTTCCTAGCACTTACCTATGTTGCTGCAAGAGATCCTTAACCTACGCTTTTTTTTTTCTGATGGCCCACGCTCGTAGCCGTGTAGTCGAAGTGAAGTGTCAATCTCATTGTATGCGCCAGTGGTTGCACTTGTGGCACCTCAAGTCAGTTCCAGGCGCTCATGCCAGCGGTTAATTACTGTAAAGATATCTTAATTCGACCACAAAGTGCGCATACGTTGCGACGTGATTGAAAGGCTTGCGAAACTCATAATCAGCTTGCTTCTAGGTGTTCCGACAGCTCTAACGGAGCGAAAGTTGAACTAAGCGCTGAAGGCAACGGTCGACTGCTTGTCGTCTGCTCTCCTGTAACTACATGTGGTCGATGCGAATCCTGAAATATGCAATACCTTAGATATTGTTGCAATTTAAACAGTTTAGAATTTGCATTTTTATATACATCTAGCTGTTTTAAAGCGTTTTTATCTAACTATGCTTGATTTTCTTGTTTATTGTGCTTTCAACAAGCTCAGCTAGGTGGTGCAGACGGCAGAAAAATCGCGATCTCTCAGGCAGATCGCGATTACGCCTGATCGTGATTAAAAGTAACCATGTAGCAGCACCTAATCTGTATCGTGGTTAATACGGATCGACACTGACTGCGATTAAAAGTGCCGTGTGACACAGAAATAAATGAGCGTTTTGCCTTCAAACCATTCATCGTTACGTTTATTATCTTGCTAACCGGCTTATATAAGTTAAGTAGAGTAAATCTTGAGATGTAACATTCTTTATAGTATATCAGTGGCATACTACCAAAAGCCAAATCCTCCTACTATTCAAAGTTGCTTCCACTTCTCTTTTGAATAAAAGATAACCGACAGTTGCTCACAGCTTCTTTTCAATTGAAAAAATTGCACAGGACCACTGGGTCATGGCAAGTATGATCATTTTTTCATATACTATGGGATATATGCTATCGAATTTTATTCAAAATTATTCGACCAAATCACTATTCGCTCCGAACCTAAAATTTGCTATTGGCAGAAGGTTCGTCATTTCCAATTATTCATATTATTTGAGCTTCTTTGTTACTTTCAATGAGGAGCAGAATAAGGATAAAAAAAAGGTAGGGAGCTTAACCAAGGCTGTTTGTTTTCTGTGTTATTTCCGGCTTGACAATATTTACCATACCTCCAACCTTATTGCCTTCAATTACCCCACCAAGATACACAAACACCTGTTCCAAAATTTTGACAACTCATTGCCAGGCAACTGATTGTTGCTCAAATCTTTTCCTTAAAAACACATAGCCAGCTAAAATCCATCGTCGCATTTTCCCATGAGCCACAGCTCATCTTGAGACTCCCTGAACAGGATATCTGCTAATCACAGTTGTGCTGCGCCGGACTCTCCAGTGTGCCTTGAATAGACTCGATGACCGGCCATTCAATGAAGCAAAGATCTTAGGAGCCTGGTCGCGCAGCACATCAGCACAGAAAGCCACACGAGCCCTCCTGAGAAACTAGTCTTTGTGTGTGCTATGCGTCTCTCTCTTTTACTCCCCTCTCCCCCTCCCCAAGTGTAGGGTAGCAAACTGGACGCATAGTCTAGTTAACCTCCCTACCTTTCCTACATTCCTTCTCTCTCTCTCACAGTTGTGCTCCCTCACACTCCTTTCAAGTACAAACTTTACAGAAGCACGAACTAAATATAGCCATGATAATGTACAACTCGGTGAGATAACAAAATTGAAAAATAAAGAAAGGGCCACTATGAGGGCACCTAACAAGTTATGAATTTAATGTGTCATAACAGCACAAGTGGTATGGATGAGTAGACCTCCCTTAAGGGCAATGACAAGGACTTCGCATCAAATAAAAGAAACCCTCAACTTTCACGCAAATGTGGAAAAGTCGACAAACACTGATACAAGACAAACAGTTAAAAAAGGCCATTCATAAGTGCCTGTAGCAGGCAAAGTGGGCGTGGCCCACAATTGCAACTCTTTAGTTCCTTAGGACCGAAATAACATAAAATTTGTTGACTGACTGTAGCAATCATAAGTGCACCCAATCTAGTATCACTTAGTCACTCTACAAATCCAGGTTTCAGCAATCCAGTCTCATTCGTTCATTGTAGCATTTTTCAACTGTTTCACCGTGCCATCCTTGCAGAGTACTAACACTCTGAAGGTTTGTCCTCTCAATGACCTTGACCTTTCCAAAATGTGTCGTTTGTGTCTTAACTGGTTGGCCGCAGTTCATAAATGTCTCTGAGCTTATGCTGTACTAATCATTACAACAGAAAAGTATTTGCATTAAAGCAGACTTATTCTTTCACGATTTCATTTTCATCTTGACCTAGCCTTGCACTACGACCTTTGACTTATTGGTACCACCTTATTTTTTCACTCAAAAACATCCATGCATAAAAATGTCTTTTTTTGGGGCCCTATAATTTTTAACATACAAAAGTTGGTTTTTTTCTTTTATTTTTTTACGAATTGCCAGCCTTCAAGAAAACAAGCATGCTTCACCACACAGCACCTGTGCCAGTGTGGAGGCTGAGCCTACAGGAGGAAGAACAAGTCTGATGGCTAGTACAAGCACAATCATGAGGAGAAGAAAACTGATGCAGACAATCACTAATGGACCTTGCCAGCCCCGTCACGAAATTGTACAAAATGCGACTTCCAGCCGTTTTGCTTCTTTCAAATGCAATGGTTAAGCAAAGCTAAACAGTCATGGGACACACTAATGCTTCAAGCGGAAACTCTGAAGCCAAAGATACAGTACAAGTAGCATGCATGAACCGTGACTGTCGAGCATCTGTAAAAGACAAATTAGAAAAATCAAGACAGCCGTCTTACCCCGTCTGATGCACCCTTCAGCAGCTGGATGAACTTCTTTGTGAGCAGACCGAGGGATGTGTCATACCGATTGCGTTCCCCATCTACACAGCAAATAAACAAAAACAAGATGCGTTGTAAGACTACACACAGTTCTGCCTGCCAATGCTGAGTACCCTGATAGATGCTGAAGAATTGAAAGATTGCAAGGTGGTGTCTACTTTGTACTAGAAACTAGGATAAGCTATCACAAGCTGGTTATACTAGTTAAGCTAATGAAAAACAAAATGTGTTACAAAAAAATTTGCAGAACCAAACACTGCTGCTATTTTGCTAGAACGTAACATGTGCTACAGCTAGCTTTATGTATCCATTGACATGAAAATGTTCCAACGCTTCTTGCCACAGATAACATCAGCAATGCAGAACTTTCACGCTGCTTTTATTGACATATAGGAGTGAAAGCAGTTTCGGCAACACAAACTGTCAGTCTCAACGTACTTTTGCGAACTTGACCTCCGGCAGAGCTGGCCAGACGCCCCTTCTTCGTCGCTGGTGCCTTGAAATCAAATGACTCGGGGGACTCCATGTCTAGCCGGCGCTTGACCTGAAATCACCATAGCAGGAACCAGTGCTAAGACCGTGTGACACACGACTAATTGAGTTCTGATATGCTCCACCTAATGACGAGTGCCAGAAAGATTTAGAAACAACGCCTTAACAATAGCGACACACGGATTAAACGCGCGAATGAGTGACGACTCCCGTCACAATACACGATGACGAAAGTGACGCATTCATCCCGCGGAACCGGCCAAGTTGGGACACGTCTTACCGGCAAATGACACAATCGCCATGATTTTAAAAGCCGCTTGGAGCGACCACGGTTTCAAAGCGCATAGCTAACCGAGCTGGCTCTAGTGGCCACGCGGGTACACATGTGCGCGCCATCGAGGTTCCGAAAAAAAAAAAAAAGAATCGCGCCGGAGGGCGTGGGAAAAAAACGCAAGCAGCCGTCGGCGCCCGACCGTGTCGACAGCGGCCAAAGTAAATACAAATAAAGAAGCCGTTATAAGGAAGGACAACGCCGTGGCCGGTGTAATCGGCGTGAATAATCGGTCGAGACTGTCGAAAATCGCTAACCACAGCAGCTGACGAAGCCACGCAACCGCCAGCCGCACGAATCTGCGCAGTGTGCTCCCGAGAGTCCCCCCCGCCACGCATACACGTTGTCCGCTTCGCCCATTTAACAATGAAGTCGTTTCGCGGGACCAGCTGCATCAGCCACTGCTGCCACAGGGGCCGTGGGCTCGGATTCTTCAACGGGCAGGTTTCTGCCGGCCGATCGTCCGCACGGGCACGATGCGCACGAAAACGCGTGTGGCCGGACGCACACCTGCCCCTTTTTAGGGGTGACAAGCCGCACGCCACCGCGGTGCTGACACAACGGTTTCGATCGCGAGCCCGGGGCGTGCGTTCCCGCCGCCGTGGCGGTAATTAAGAAAGCTGGTCAGGCCAGGCAACACCGAGTAATGAGTGGCGCAGATGACCAGCTCGAAACCGCGGGAGGCGAAGCGCCCTGTGGGGGAGATGGCGAGGGGGCGACACGTAGTACGCGGCGTTCTCGGATTGTTTTTCCGGGCAGCGCATTCCTCTCGATTCCTCGGAAACGAAATCACGAGAAGCCAAAATAAACGAAATATAGAAAGAGGGATATTCCTTTCGGTCTTTGAAGCACACAACCGACACCGGACTTAACGGTCGCCCGGTGGTTTGAGGTAGCCGCAGCCCCACTCATAATCAAGGCAGGGCGATCAAAAATAAGGATAATTTTTTGCGACGTGCGCTGTTCGCACGGGTCTCCTTGGCATTCTGAATACATTAGCGGACAAGGGGTCACCGTAAACTTTAGTCCGAACCCCCCTGGGGGGTAGCCGGTGCCCCAGGTCCCCGGGCCCAATCGCGGAAGTCGTTTGTAAACAAAGGAAGCCAAAGGGCAGAGCATACGCAAAATGTCTTTCCGCAATCGCATCCGGTCAGTATTTAAGGGGCCCCGGGTCAAGCCCGAGGCCTCAGGGCAGTCGTAACGACCCACCTGGTTTCTCTCGGCAGGCGGCTTGGCCGGATTGCGGGCCAGGTAAAAGTGGTCAGGAGTCTGTCCGTACTCGTCCATCACAATGGCAGCCGCCGGCAGCTGGCCCGGCTTGACGAGCGAGTGCCGCGATCCTCCCGCTTCCTTGGCCGTAGGTGTCTTGAAGCTTCCGCTGGCCATCTCCGTGTGAACCAAGTCCACCTGATGCGTGGAGATCATCATCCCTCGACGTGATGCGGCCCGCACCGCCAGCAGCCGGCGCCCAGCACTAAGTAGGCTTCCGCTACGCGGACATAGTAGACCTCGAAAAATCCCCCTCGAAACGTATATTACGCAAACCTTCAATCAAAACTGTACCATGATTGCACAACTAGATGAATTAAAGAGTCTATCCAACGTAATCCGGGACTAATAAGATCGATTAAATGGACCGGATGACTTCGATTTAAATGTCTACCACAGAGGGTATAACGCTCGACCGTTTCGCGCAAAAAAAGCGCCGCGTACAAAGACGCGCGCTCTCGTCGTATTTCGCGCGAAAATATTCCCGCCAGAGGGTTGAGGCTGGTTGCGATGCACGGTTCGCCGCATCTTTTCCTGAAAACGGTCCAGAATATCCTATTTGTGTAGAATTTTCGAGGCATTTTAAAGAGCATTGACTAATTTGCTTCTCTCGCTACTACAGTGAAACTTCGATGCGACATATTTTGACTATTCCATCGAATAATCCAGACTACGGTGGTAACCACGGAGCAGACCGCCGTTGTTGACCTTGTGAAAGCTCTTTCATTCCTCCAAATGAAGCCTGCTTGTAAAATTACGGAGTCTTTCTAAAATTGTGAGCTACGACAGGCCGTAATTCAAATAAATTCGCATGTTTATTAACATGGTAGCAGTAACAGTTTTCATTTCAGGCTCGACGACTCTGAAAAGCGTCGTCTGCTTCTCGTCGGCCCCGCCCACCAATTGCGTTTTGTCGCACGCCATTGGGTGGCTTGCAGCCAATGACAAAGCCAGGTTTTCAAATATGGCGGTGCTTGGTCCGCACGCATGCAATAGCGCGGTTTATCCGGAGTTCATGTAGCTGGCAGAGCTAGGCCAAGGCTAACGAAAGCAGTTGGATTGTCACGTGATTGTACTTCGGTGACAGCTGTGCGCGTATGACAGCAGCTTTCGGGTGTCGCGGGACGGGCTATGCGGCCGTGCGATGACCGCTACCTTGGCCTGCGATGTGTCGGAGAAGAAGAAAGCCGACAGCAAGCGTGTCCACTACGCCCCCTTGGCCGGTGGCCAGAACCCCACGGGACGAAAGAGGAGCACATGCCGTAAGCGCGCGCCGAACTTTTCAGTCTGTCTTGCGTGCGCTTGTTCGCCCGCGACGACGAAATCCCTTTACTGCAGTCGTTCCGTGTAGGACGTAGTGCGGTAGCTCGGGCAATGACCGTAGCAGTACACTCCCAGCGCGCATCATCTCGAGCGCATACAGCAGCTAACGACGCTTGCGCTAACTGACGCACATGCCACGTTCTGTGCAGCAAATGTTTCACTCGAAAGTACCGATAACACACAGCTTCATGCTCGAAACCAATACGCCGAGTGCGATTGGCACTTACGTTTTCGTCCTGGGTACTGTGCATTGCGCAATACCGACAGGCCGCAACGACTTGGCACAGCCACCATATGTTCCGGGAATTCCGGCGTTGTGTGCGCATCGTAGGCGCGGGTGCCCACCTGCGCTTTTCCGGTACCGTCGCTTCATCTGCCAACAACCTGTTCGTCTGCGAGCTTGTGTATGTGTCGCTGTATTACAGATGAAAAACAAAAATGTAATTAATCAGGTGCTCGGCGTATTCCGGGTGACCGCTGCAGGGGTTGTCATTTGACAGTCGCATTATGCGAGTGATTCCTTGAGCATTTCCTGTAATAAGCTAAACTTGCGCAGCGTCTCGACAGTGCACGTTTACTCCGCATAAACTGAAGTGGTCTTACACCGCTCCCTACTGAAGCCGCAGTTTTAGCTCGCATTCTGTACATCTACACTAGTGTTTTATAGCATTCTGCCCACCTTTGAATGTAGCAATGGCACACTTCGCAGTGTCTACTCGTAGTGATAAGTCATCAAACCAATCACCAGGTCGATTACGCTCGTTGCATGCAAATATCACTGTTCTCCCGCCCAAAAATTTTCAGATGCATGCCTATTGATGCATGTCAGCTATTTCACCATCACCTGCGTTTTTCTGTAGCATACACAGCGGACATACTACTGTAAACTGTCAATGTCTAGATCGATTTTTCTCAAGCCCCCCTCCCCCCTTCTTTTAACTAGAAATACACTTAGCTAAATGAAATGAAAAAGATTGGCGGAGGACATAAGCCCATGTGTATAAGACCATGTTTTGTTCAGCATGTACGTCAGTATAGCTTCAGGCAAAGATCGTGGAACTTCTTCAATCAGCAATAATAGCGAAAGTTGGGCTAGTTGGTGGTTCATACTTGGGAAGTAAAAACAGTGCAAAAATATAGACAAGGACAGAGGAAGAGACGACACCGCACTGATTTATATCAAGCATTTGATCCGGTCATGTGGATCCAGTCAGCGATGTCAGCGAGTTTTGATTTTTGCGCTGTTTTTACTTCCCAAGTTCTTCAATCAGTTAGCTTTCCAGGATTTTGTTAGAAGACATTTCATAAGTCACATCATCATCCTTCTCTTCGATTAGTTCACGGCAGGACGAAAGGCCTTTCTCAATCTGCCCTGCCTTGGGTGATTGCATCGCATCTCCAAAGACTTCATCACTCCGCCTAAGACACTGCTCTCTTCGGCTTATTTTTGCATTTCTTGGTCTCCGTTGCTCTACCTTACCACCAGTTATCTCTCCTGCACTTTACGTGGCCAGCTAAGGTCCACTTGTTTTACTAGTATGATCTACTGTAAAATACTGAGCATGCATGCCTTTTCAGATGATTTGAAATATGTGCCAATAACTAAGCAAGTACCCTCACTCCTTCCTCCATTTCTTTTGAACCTTTTCTCAGCTACAGAATTTCGCAGAAGTGATTCCCAGGAACCCAACTTCAAAAAGGCTTTAGATTTGTGCACAATTGACCATTTGCAGAAGCCCCGCCGCGGTGGTCTAGTGGCTAAGGTACTCAGCTGCTGACCTGCAGGTCGCGGGATCGAATCCCGGCCGTGGCGTCTGCATTTCCGATGGAAGCGGAAATGCTGTAGGCCCGTGTGCTCAGATTTGGGTACACATTAAAGAACCCCAGGTGGTCGAAAATTCCGGAGCCCTTCACTACGGCGTCTCTCATAATCATATGGTGGTCTTGAGATGTTAAACCCTACATATCTATCAATGACCATCTGCAGAAATCTGTAAGGCGGCTTTCCTGCAAAGTTGTTTTCCAACCGAAAACTCTCGTGTACAGGCCCCATGTGTACATTTGTTCACTAACTTCGTTTTCGTTGATCAGCTTTCTTGGCTTGGCAAATCATATTTTCAATGTTTAATTATTTTTTTATTTGTTGTTTCTTCATTAAGTCTTTTACAGGTTTGAGAGAGAGCATTTATTTCACTGCCTTATTGCTTTACAACTTCAATTGCTGCTTTATATTCCAGCCTGATTATGCTTTTGATCATTCCCATTGTGGCAGTACTTTCTCCTTGTTTTTAAAGCTATTTGTTTTTTAGAATGATTTCAAAGCTGTCTGTTTTCAATCTGACCACATCTAGGTTGACATGTTTATTAGTGTTTAATTTTGCTCTTTTTCTCGAGGCTATTTGTGCCCTTATCAGTTTGTCGTACCGACACTTTATTTAGCATATTACATCTGGTGTCCTGCACTAAGCTTGGATCTCTGCATAATATAAAATCAATTCTGTATTTTCGTATCTTCGTTCAGGCTTTTTCATGTCCAATTTCTGTTCTTGTGCATCCTGCGAAAGAAGTTCGGTGGTCGAAATTCCCAGAGCCCTCCACTACAACATCTACAAATTCTACAACACTACAAATTCGGCAACTCAGGAAATAATCACTCACAAAACAGCCCTGGCTTATTGTCCATGCATTACTGATTAAGAAGGACTCAAGACCAATTGTTTTACTTATTTGGAGTCGTAAAAGCTTGATGTTCTTGCAGATAACATGTACCTTAAAGAAAAAAAGGTGGCCAGATGCAGCTGAACTGAAGGTGTTGCCAAACGGTAATAAAGAGAGGGAAATATGTTACATTTTTGTAGTTACTTGTATTTCTAACAGGACATGGAATAGTAGCTTTCAATGCAGGGAGCAAAGAGTATTCCTCAGTGAGACATTGTGGTAGTCTAGAAATCATCCACCAGTGAATGCTTTTTTTAAAGTAGCTATTTACAAGATCACCACTGGAAACATACAGAGCTTTCAAGCAGGGAATCGACAAAAAACTTTTTTCGAAATCTGTGCTGGTTGAAGCCAAGACAGGAGTTTTTTTGGTATTGAAGAAATCCTCGAACGCGATATAAGTACTAGTTTAGCACTGGTTCTAGAATTCCTTGTGTAATCATCTTGTTAATAACTTCTTATTTACATGGAGGGCCACGAATGTAGGTTCATTTGACCAAAGCACCTTGCTTTTATCAATAAACTCTACTAGCTTTCTCTCCATAGTGATTGACGATAACCGGGAGGTCTTCCGATTGTCTGCATTATGTCAAAATTCAAATTAACTGAGGGTTACTCTACTGTAGCCGACTGCGCTAAACATTTTTTTTTTATCAATTTCAGTTTGTATTGTCCAAGTTTGAGACACTCGCTAGTTATGTGGGTTTGCTCTACGCATAGAGCAGGTGCAGGTAATGATCAGATATGCGACAAAATCTTTTCACCTTGTGAAAAAAAAAAACAAAAGCTTAACTTGGGGGTGCTAACAGTGGCTTCATTAGATGAGAAAGCGTATCAGCAGATAGGGAAGCACTGTACGTGCTGTATAGGTTTTTGAACAGCGACACATTAACGCATATCAGTGTTGAGCCCCCCCCCCCCCCCCCTTAAGCCCCACATTTTTTAATAGCACTACTGTGACAAAAAGTATGCATGATTAGATTATGGTAGACGACAGTGGCACTAAGGGCACCAACTAGACTAGAGGATTTGTCTTTCATCAAGCCAACCAGAGTTTTCCCTTTAATCACTTACAATCCTTCAAGTTCTATTTACTGTGATGAGAAAGAGTCTGAGCAAGGGCGTTATGTGGTGTGAAGCATTTCTTTTGCCCTCATTATTGTGCTGCCCATTTCGGAATGCCCAATCTATTTGAACGAGCCCTAATGTCAATTCGTCTGCAGTATTAATGCAGTACTAAAATAATACAGGGTGAATGTGCAGCTATATTGAGACAAATACTCAAAGCATTGTGAGCACACAAAAGCATTAATCGTGCCCACTGTTCATTTGGATGTTGGTTATGCATGGTACCGCTGCAGCTCCCAGCTGGCAAGCCTCAAGTTGAGGGGTCTCGTATGGCTCCATGACAGCACTCTGCTCAAGCAGTTCTCACCTGTCTTTCTCGAGAATGTCTTTGGCCTGTCGTTTGGTGTGGATGATCATCTGGACGCTGGAAAATGGTCGGAGGTTGCAGAAAGGCGTCTTGAAGAGCTGATTGGAGCATGTTACTGCATTAAGAACAGCGCGAATACGGGGCATTGACGAAGGAAGAAACAGCGACTGCGTTTGATTTGTGTAGTATTCATCGGTCCTCAAATGCAGGAAAACCAAGTCACGAACAAGAAAACACATTTATCGACTTGGCAACGGACAATTACATACACAGTGAATCCCTTAACAGTACAAGTATCAATTAAGTCCTAACTCACACTCGAGAGGATGGGTGTGTCCTGACGTATAGGTCCGTCGAGTGTCACTTACAGTAACAGAGGTAGCAACGATTCCAGCACGAAGCGGAGTTGATGAAGTCGTGCGCAGATGCACAAGTAGACTAAGACCTGCTCGTCGTGGAACATACAGGCCCACGCTGGCGACGGCCCACTAGGACGTGACACCAGGGCCACGGTCTTAGCTCGCATTGTGCCGGGACCCTTGGGACGCGGCACCGAGGCCACGATCTCAACTCCAGAAGAGGGCCAGCTCGGCTTGTGTCGGAACCCTGGGACGCGGCACTGAGGCCTCGATCTCGACTCCGGACCGCACGCTCGAGCCCCACAGAAACACCTGCTAGACCGGCTCATCACACTCGCTCGTTCCCCGAACACCAAGCTCATCTCGACTGGTCTAGTCGCACTAGCTTGATCCCTGTAGACTCTCGGACCGAACGTTCGGCGCTCTGGCTAGCTGGCCGCGTTCTCCCAGCCCGGCGAAGTTCGCCTGCTCGTGAGTTTTGTGAAGTTTTCTCTCGCGCACACCACCGTCTTTCTTTCCGATCGGCTCTCTTGGTTGTGGGAAATACTCTCTTACCGCACTCTCCCCCACTTCCAGTACGTTGTGCCGCGTATTGCGATAAACTAGGTGCTAAACATCGTAGAACAGTAATAAAAAAAGACAGGGCGCGAGCAAATGTCAAATAGTGGAAGCGTCCTGTCACTATACAACACTGTAGACCACATTCGCTACGTACTTTGGTTCGAGACTTCAACACCAACACTCGTCACACGTTTTGGTCGGCGGTGCCACATATGGTCTCACACACTGGCATGCCGCCTATACGTCACAGTGAGGTGCGCACACACTGTCGGCTCTGGTAATTAAACATAAGCCCATACGCAACACACACGACGCACTGATAACACAGGTGCCTCATCACTCAGTGTTTTGCGGAGTGACAACACCACACCATGTTCGAGGTAGTCGTCATCAGTTAGGGCTTCTTTAGGCACGTCGGTTGTACGTCCGTGTCCTATGGCATAGAAAGTGACTCTGGAAATGTGGTGGTTGAAACGACGGCTGCGGCAACGATGGCACCTGATGCATTGGTACACCCACACTGTCCATGCCATAGCAGTGGAGCTTAAGAAGCCCCGCAGGAGATTAAATGAAACCGGCGGTATTGCGTCTCTCGAAGTAGTAGTTTTGCCTAGCTCGTCGACACGGTGGTACTCTGGTCGTCGCGTCCGAAAGCAATCATGTGTCATCTTGAGAGATGTGCGTACTGCTGGAAAGCGGCATATCTGGTTGTGAATTTGGCCATGGCGCTGTCAATAGCCCTGCAGGTTCAGAAGAATGTTTCGTTGTTTTCGCCCTCATCACGCATGCCTTCTGGATATCATTGCCAGTTGCAGATGAACTGCTGTCACGTGGTTTCGGTTTATATATACGTGGTCGATTGACGACTTGACTGGCGCCGACCCGGTGTCGCTTACCACAATGAATAGTAGACGTCGATGACATCAGCTCCTCGATGGCCATTGTGCCAATCGGGTTCATGGACCGGTTTCCCATCACTGCTGTGGCATCCAGTGACATGACTCCTTTGATATTTTCCAAAACCACATCATAAAGTGAGTCTCGTAGGCAGTGAGCACGCACTTCTTTAAAAATTGGCATGTCTACGAAGATCACCGCTTCTGGTAGTTATCGTACCGTACGGTCGAGAAAGAATACCTGCCAATACTCTCCAGGCAACATTTCTTTTCGCACTAACGCCTCTTGCACAACAACTGTATCGCAGCCAGTGTCGCGGAGTACCCTAAGAGGGAGTTTATTCATGAACCCTTTCACAATGGGCATGTTGTCAATGCTGCCCAATGAAGAACTTTGGTTGACAATAGATATCTTTTTTCCATCTTTCAGATTAATGTACACTGCTTTTTCTACTGACTTCGCATCATTTCTTTTTTCCTGCTACAAAGCAAGATGCTTCGCATTTGTCCCCTCTATCGGCAGAATACTTGCCATTGTTATGATCATGCGCGGGGAAAGATGCTTTCGTTCGTGACCAGCATTCTGCCTCCCTGTGCCCTTTTTATCGCACAGAAAGCAAACATCTTTCGCCAGACGCATTTTCATTGCAAGTTCAGGCTGCCCTGTTTCCGTCCGAGCTCGTTCCGCATTCAAGTTCCAGAGCGCCTGTGCTTCCATAAAGGTGTCGGCGGCCTCACATATTGCGCTCAATATCTCGCATTTTCTTTCTTTAAGAAAAATTCTTAGTGGTGGGGAACAGCCTTTCATGAATTGTTCACATATGATTACTTCTCTTAAGCCAGAATAATTTTTTTCTGCGTTGCCCATTTGGAGCCAATAATCAAAATAACCGGACATTCTTGCTGCATACTGCAGGCCGGACTCATTATCTTCGCGTTTCGCCTTGCGAAATTTCTTCGATAGCCTTCTGCAGTGTATCGAAACCGCTGCAGTATGCCACTTTTAACTTGTCATCATCTATGACGACGCCCATTTCTCACAAGGCCACCCTTGACACGTCTCGACCCGCTTAAACAGCTGCAGGTAGGCGTCGAGGTCGTCATGCATTTCGTCAAAGGGTGGTATCAGTTTATGGGGGGCTACACACTCCTGGTGCACGTGTAGTGCTCAAGGTAGGACCCCCTGTTGCACCAGCTCCAGTAAACTCTCCTCCCATGCTCTCCTGAAGTCGCAGCTTCAGCTCCAATATCTTCAGTTCTTGTTCCTGAAGTAGGCGTTGCCGCTCAGAGCTTTCTTTTGTGAACTCGCGTTCTTTAGCACGTTCATCGCGGGCTATTGCACATTCTCTGTTCACCCATTCTTTAAGCTCATTCTTCTCAAGTCCTAGTTCACGGCCAAGTGCGAAAAATCTCTCCCTGTCCATGGCCTAGCCCTGCATCAGGGTAATGACTGTAACGTTAATGTGCCATCCTAGCAGAGGCTCGCCAAATGTGGTATTCGTTGGTTCTCAGATTAAGGAAAACCAAGTCAGGAACAAGAAAACACATTTATCGACTTGATATCGGACAATTGCATACACAGTGAATCTCTTAACAATACAATTATTCGTTGAGTTCTAACTCACACGCGAGAGGATGGGTGCGTCCCGACTTATAGGTTGGTCGAGCGTCACTCACTATACTGCAGAGGTAGCAACAATTCCAGCATGAAGCGGAGTTGATGAAATCATGCGCAGATGCACGAGTAGCCTAAGACCTGCTCGTTGTGGAATGTACAGGCCCACGCTGGCGACGACCTCGGACGTGACACCATGGCCACGGTCTTGGCTCGCTTTGTGTCAGGACCCTTGGGACGCGGCACCGAGGCCACGATCTCGACTTCGGACAGCTCACTCGAGCCCCACAGGAACAGCCGCTAGGCTGGCCCGTAACGCTCGCTCGTTCCCGGGACACCAAGCTCATCCCGACTGGTCTGGTCGCACCAGCTCAATCCTTGTACACTCGGACCGAACGTCCAGCGCTCTGGCTGGCTGGCCACGTTCTCCCAGCTTGGCGACATTCGCCTGCTCGCAAGTTTTGCGAGCGTCTCTATCGTGCACACCGTCGTCTTCTTTTCCGATCGGCTATTTTAGTCGTGTGAAATACTCTCTTAGCACACTTAGCATTCATCCCGTATACACACTGCTTGCAGCGCAGTGACACCTGAAATTGTCTCTTGTAGAGGCTGTGCTCAGCACTAAAGCCAGTTCAAAGGCAAGGACTCCTTGCAAGGACAATGGCGAAAGTTCAGGTGGCGATGTCGGAGGTCGTTGCTGACTGATGGCCATACCCCCCATTTCGTGCGTGTAATAACTAGGGAACAAGCCTGACTAGAAAAGCCACTACTGTCAGGAGCTACATGTAGGTGGCCCACTGCATTAACACAGCATGCTGCGCTGGTTGTGTTTTTACAATGAAAGATGCTATGAGATCAGAACAAGGGTCATGCGCGACGCGGTAGTTATCCGCTGCCGCCGCCACCTGTCTGTAACCAGCATCTAAAGAAAAAAATGCAATAAATAAGCAACACCAATGACACAATGAGATTCAAACCCGGGTCTGCTGCTTGCCAGCCCAGCATTCTACCACTGAGCCTAGCCAGGGCTTGGAACACGTTCCTAAAGTTGCCTTAGGCAGGCTTTATGTTGGGAAAGAAATTGTGTTAATGTGAGTAATAAAGCGCTTTAGAACATCAAAGGAACAGCTAGGCATCACACAATGCGAATTGCATAACACATGGGCCCTCCAATGCTCCAACCTATTAGAAAAGTTGTTCTTGATCAGCTATTATTTGTGACGCATACCCACTTCAGGCATAATTCTTCATCATCATCAGCCACTGCATAAAAAATTGCACAAACTTCCTAAAGAGTTTGCAGCAGATGCCATGCTTCTTCAAAGAGTGATGAAGGATAGCATAGGGAATATTGGCCTACTATAGAAAAATGATTATTTATGGCATAGTGGGTACCCAGCAGTGTGCTTATAGCAGTTACTTAAATTGTGTTTAGAAAAGGCTCTGAAAGGCTGCTCCTCTAGCTTTTGCTGTGACTCTGCTGTGCGTTTTGTTTGTTTATTCAATACTGCCAGCCACCCTTTGGCAGCCAGGGCAGGAGTGGTACAGTGCACAAAGTTTACACGCAAAGTTTACAAACACAAAGTTTACACCCGACCAGTAACACGGTCCGCGGTACACAGGGAAGCAATAATGCAGTAAGTAAAAAAAAGAAAAAAAGCAGTGTACGTTGTGGCGTGGTAGC